TGTCTTTGGTGAGTGAAGGGTATCTAATGAGGTCTGAATGTTTACGTAAACAAATGATGTATGCAGATGTTTTATTGAAATAATGAAATCACGTGCCAAAATGTAAAATAAAGGGTGCTAGAAAGTGTGTTCTGTTCATAGGGTGCTGTGGAATGGTAGGGACTCAGGATTCTGGCCAAAAGGTACAACTTCTGATTTACAGTTTGGGAGTTGTTTGGTTCGGTTGATGTTCCTCAGTGAAATTGGGTAGCATCAAAGGAAGTAAAAGTACCCTCACACACACTAACATTACAGTAATAACATTAAACAATGGGAATGATGAAATGTAAAATCAATTTGGAAGAGGACAATGACCTTGAAGTCACAGCAGGAGAATGTGTGAGTAGATTAAGAACATCTGTGATATTCTGTATTGATTTTTAACTTGACATGATCTAGAATGACCTCTTGGTGTGCATGTGAGGGATTATCTAGGTCAGAATAGCTGCTAAACACCTCTGCCAGAATTATCTAAGTAGGTTAATTAAAGTAAGAAGACCCATGTACACTGGGTGATGCCATTTTGTGGGACAGAGTGCTGAGTGTATAAAGAGGAAAGTGTAAGCACTCACCAGTCGCTTCTTTCATTCTTTGCTTGCAATGTAACCAGGAGTCCCAAGATCCCAACACCAAATTTTCACCTCCATGGCAGACTGCCCTTGAACTGTGAGCTTAAATAAACCTTTAAATTTATCTGATTGGGGTACTGTATCACAGTAACAAGAAAAGTAAGGGATTTAAGGAAGAGCTCAGATAAGTGGGAGTGTCTACTTCATGACACCTGTGAGAGCATCAGTGATTGATTTGTACAGAAGGAGACAGAGACAAGTTCAAGTAAGTTGAGAAGCAGATAAGACATGGGGAACTGAGGATTACTCACCCTGTTATAAATCCTGCCAGTGAAGAGAAAGAGGGATACAGGTCATGTGTTGATAGACATTGTGTGATTTACTCCAGATACCCTTTCTCCATATTTGTTCCTTATAAGGAAGATTTGATAGAAAGGGCCAGTTTTGAAGACTAGTTTATTTGGTTGTCTTTTTCTGTGAGCTTATTATGTTAGGTCTGACTAAAATGTAGAAGTATCAAAAAAACAAAACATCAAAGGAATCTGTCAAAAGATGCATGGGAAAAAAAGAAATCATAAAAATATCTCAAAATATGAAAAGATTAGATTTGAAAATAATTTCATATCCATGTTTAAAAAATGTGAAGACATTTGGAACCACTATATAGCTGACAAAATAACATGTTGTAGTATCTTTGCAACTGCATAAGTTTTAAATCTTTTGCCTTCCCATTAGCACTCTACAGGAATACCCGAACAACTGTCTTCTCTCCTATGCTGCTTTATTCTTTTTCTCTCCAGATTATTACTGAGTGGTAGACAGAAGTTCCTTAAATAACTTTAGGGCATCTTTAGCTTAATCTTATTCATTTTTTAAACAATGAATGTCAGACCAGAGCAACAAATTTTATAATGGAATGAGCTCATTGTTCTTACTTTAATGCTTTTGAGAAGGGAGTGGCAGTGTATCTGTTGATTTTATCTCTGAAGGAGATTGCCAAAACAAAGGAAAACATACAAAACAATCAAGAACCCAGGTATATTAGGTTTCCATTACAGACTCAAGAAAAACTGCCCAATACTTTTTTGTTTGACTGATTGTAATGACTAAAGTTAAGTGCAGGAGGACAAGAATAGGTGGTACTGGGCTGTAGAAATAGAGAGACCAGGAAAATTTAGAAATAGCTTATAATCATTAAAGAGCATGTCTTTAAAAAGGAGTCTCAAGTTTGATTAAAAACTAAAAGGATCATCCATAGCATAAAGTGCCTCATAAAGTGGCTTTGTGGATCATAACAGATACTCACTAGATCTCAAAGCAGTGCTCTATCTTATCTGATATGAACTTCCCACAATTAAGAATGCTAGAGAGGACATATTGACAGGGTAAACAATGAGTATAAAGGAACTGAGAAAGAACAAAAGAAACAAATAACAAAGATTAAATATTCACTAAGAACAAAAAAGAGCACCTAATGAAAATTGCAAACAAATGTATAGCATGTGTTAGAAGAAACCGATGTTAGCACCTTCAGAATAATAGTGGGGAAGTTTTCAGGAGAAAATTCCTCTGCTAACTGGGACAAGCAAAAAGTTTTCAGAAAAAATAACAAAATATCTAATCAATTGAGTTATGGACCAAGTTTAAAAGATAAGTGGTAAATGGTAAGGCTATGCAATTTTGGTTTTGTAGCAGAAAAAATTGCTAAAAATCATGAAAGATGACAATATGTTAATGTACTCCTGAGAATTGGCAAAAGTAAAAGAGAAAGTATAGAGGAGAGGTTACTGTTCAGGTTTCCTTGTATTTAAAACCATATGTCAAATACACGAATGATCTACAGAAATTATGCATCTTTATGCAGAGAAGGACCAGTGAAGAGCACAGAGGTCCAGACCATGCTGGTGAAACCCACAGAAACAGCTGACCTGAACATCTGGGAACTCTTGCTCCCCAGTCTGATAGCTGGGATACCAGCATGGGACTGATCCAGACCCCAGGAACATGGGTTTCTGTGAGGAAATCTATGGGACCTCCTATACAAGCCCAGTATTTATCCTTAGCATAGGTGTGGACTTTGGGAGCACATTCCATATAGAGGAGTACTCCCTGAGCCAAGACACATGGGGGTGGGCCTGTAAGACCCCCGAAGGGAGACCCTCACTCAAATCTCAGGAATAGCGCTCACCCAGTGAGGCACCGAGACCGGACTTGCTGCAATCACACAAGGAAGTTTATTGAAAAAGGAATTGAATGAGATCTCAAGCCAGCATGCTGGGGTCGAGGCTCAGAGGAGTTCGATCCCGACCCAAACTTGTGACAAGTTTATAAAGGCAAAAACCATAAAGGAGGGGAGGGGGACTAGGGAGGAAATAGAGGAAGCCCATAGTTACACATTCACTCATAAAGGCAAAAACCACAAAGGAGGGGG